GATGATCCAAAAGGAGAAACTCAAAGAGCTTCTTCTTCTCATATGACTTGGTAATTCTGTGCAATCAGTTGAGTCCTCTGCACAAACCTTGGAGTCGCACCACCATTGCCTCTCAGAGGAATCATTCCGGTCACCTGCACCGATATGAACACCACTCTCATTTGTCATCCAAAAACATAAACCCTTATTTGATGATGTTGGAATTTCAAGAGGAACAAGATTTATACCTTTAGGCCACTGAAGGTACTGGTGGCTGCAAACTGAACGGAGATTGGGAAGAAGACCGATGAATCAACTGGTGGCACAACAAACTCCATTGACCCACTGCGGAAGATTTTCATGTATTTATATCTATCTTGACAAATAAAAACTCCCAAAGTGGTTTTAGCTGTAACATGTCATCAGTTTATTTACCTGCGGTTAGAGTTGTCGATAAGAAGTATAGACCATTCCAGAACCGAGTTTCTTGAGTCGTACCTGATAGCATTCACAAAGACATAGTTGGTTCTTAAGATTGGATAATACAGTTATGAAGAGAAAAATTTATAGTCAATTAAATTACAAACCTCCAATCTCCATCGCATTGTTTAACGCTTGGTGCATCTCTCAGAGCAGGAAGAGGTACGGAGATGATGACATTAGTAAGATCAAACAAGGACGAGGCTTCATACTCGATGCTGACATATGTCTCGTTTCCAGAGACTGAAGGCCAGCAGTTGACTGCACCAGATAAAAGATTTTGCATGAATGAGTCAAACATTTACATGTACATCAGTTAAAAACAGACAAAGCTAATCTCCAAATCCTTACTTGTTAGTGGCACCATCGACTCGTCTGCTCCTTGCATTCTCCACCTCAGAAGACCAACACCATCTCCACCTTGACCAGTGGGAAATGGCTGTTCAGGTCTCTTCAGCCCTAGAATACTCTCGCTATTAAAGAGTTCTCGGTTGATGTTGGGATGGGTCTTGAAAAGAATATCAGGGTTTCCACCGGTTTCAATCTGAAGGCAAGAGTAAAAATATAGAAAAAAATCATTAAACAAAACAAAAATAAAGTAAGTGATGTATTCAAGAAAACTGTAAAATTCCTGAGAGATTATTAGAAATAGTTAAGAACGGAAGTTGGTGTACCTGAACTTGGACAAATCCATCTTCTTGGTTGAGAATTTGAAGCGACAGGGTTCCCTGCATATCAAAGCTACTGAGTCCACCATCTCGTCTCAATCCAACATTGAGCTTCTCTTCCACAGTTAATGTGAAAGGATCAGTTGGAGGTGGGGCAGCTGCTCTGCTTTGGCCAACAGTAGGCTTAACATCTTCAATGATGTCTTCACCTTCTGCTTTAAGGGACTCCATCAACTGGTTCTTGCCAGACTTGCCAAGTTTCATGCCAGAACTCTTAGGAGGAGCAGTAACAGAAGACCGTGATCGATCTGTGAGGTGAAGCACGATGAAAAAGAATTACAAAAACAAATATATATCAGGAAATGCTAGCGCTGACCAAACCATAAAAGGAATTGGGACATTTTGATTAAAAATTACTCAGGATTACAGGAACAGCTGTGAATGATCCACTGGTTATAGCATACTAACCTTTCGCCTTGGTGTTGATAGGCTCAACATCAGAAATCATG